AGCATGGAAAGAATGGGAGTCGGACCGAACTTCAGAAAGTGGGTTAGGATACTCTACAAGGATGGAGTTGGCTGTGTCCAAGTTAATGGACTATTGTCTGACTGCTATCCAATATCCCGCTCGGTCCGCCAAGGGGACCCTCTAGCGCCGTCAATCTTCCTTTTTGTAATGGAGGCAATTGCTTCCTTCCTGTGCAAGGATCCATCAATTCAGAGACTAGCCAGTACCGACGTAGGCTCGGCCCATCAGATGGATTTCCCTGCAGCTATCATGTTCGCTGATGATTTAACGGTCTTGATTAGAGCATCAGACTCCTCCTTCAGAACACTAGCCAAAGCAATGGAAGCATTCAGGCTAGCCTCAGAAATGAGGATCAATTGGGGGAAAACAATTGGCTGGTGGCTTTCCGACGACGAACCCCTTKCTCTCCAAGGAAGCGAGGCGGCTATGACATGGCAAACACCGGATACACCCACACGCTATCTAGGAATCCTGATGACGAAAGAAGCACTGGCGCCCCAAATAAGCCCGTCCATGCTGGCCAAACAGATTAACAAAATCGGAAGGTGGGGCAACGCTTTCACTTCCCTTATAGGCCGAGCGCTGGTGCTCAACAACACGTCGGTCTTCTCAATGATGTGGTACATTGCTTCTATCTGGACAGTTCCCGACAGCTTTATTAAGGAACTGAACAGACGAGCCAGGATATACGTATGGACAGGTGACCCTAATAAAGATAAGGGCATTTCTAAGATAGCCTGGCAGTACGTCACAAGGGAACCACGAAATGGAGGCCTGGGAATCATTGACCCCGGAACTGAAACCAAAGCTCTCCAAATTAAATGGATCATCAAATTGCTGATGAATCCGGACAGCGCCTGGAACAATTTGGCACTGGACAGCACTAGATCGATAGCCCCGATTCCCTCCTTGGATGACATGTCCGGTCTGTATTGGGTAATGAACAAAGAATGGGTAATATCCACAGGTCGGAGAAATCGGACGAGGAATAACAGGACCAATGACCACCGGCCACCCACCCCCTACTGGCCAGCACTGCTCTGATCGTGGAGGAAAATAATCCCTAATAAGATCAACAAACCCAAATCCAAGGATGAAGTCCTAAGACAACCGCTTTTCAGTAATGAATGGATAACAAACGAAGCCAATAACCCACTTTTCCTCGAACAAAAGTGGTTTTCTTGGATTAAAAATGGTATTTGGAAAATATATCACCTATGGATGGAGGACAGAAAAGATTGGATAACGGAACAAGAAGTCAGTGTCCGACTAAAAGGTTGTCACAGACGTGAGACCAATCTCCAATACGTACTCAGTCGTATCCCGCAAGATTGGAAAGATATCCTGGTGAAAGATGAACCCTGGAGATCGGGCGAATGGGGCCTTCTGATTCATGACACACCCCCTACTAGAGCCTATCAATTCTCTCACATACAGCAAGGCTCTCACACTAGAGCCATCTTTCATTCCTTCCCGGTCACCTTCTCTAATACGGACATGCCAGCTATTTTCAACAACAATGTAGAAACGTCTATACTGGATTCCTTCCTTCTCAGAAAAGTAAGGGTCCTAGGTACATGGCCAAAGGCAATTTTCAGACCGGACACAGCAATTCGATCCTTGGAGTTCGACCCAGCAGAGTGGGCCTGGAAACCAAATTCTACCA